TGTCCATGGAGATTCCTGTCTGACCTCATCTGTCAACCTGTCCATCACCATAGCAAACAAGAAGGGACTCAAAGCCGATCCTTGATGTAGCCCCACCTCCACCTTGAACTCCTCTGTCTGACCTACAGCACATCTCACTACTGTCGTACTCCTCTCATACATATCCTGAACTACGCTGATGTACTTCTCTGCCACTCCTGACATCCTCATACAGTACCATAGCTCCTCTCTCAGCACTCTGTCGTACACTTTCTCTAAATCCACAAAGACGCAATGCAGCTCCTTCTGACCATCTCGATAGAAACTCCACTGCTGTCTCTCCTAGACACTTCCACACCTCTACAGGTATGTCATCTGTACCAACAGCCTTTCCACTCTTCATTCTCCTCAGAGCCTTCCTCACCTCATCCTTTCTAATCTTTGCTACTTCCTGCTCTACAATATTCACCTCTTCCCCTTCTTTCCCTCTCATTTTCATCATTCATCAGTTCCTAAAGATACTCCTTCCATCTTCTCTGCACACTCTCCTCACTTGTTAGCACCTTTCCATCTCTATCTTTAATCGCCCTTATCTGTTGCACATCCTTCCCATCTCTATCTCTCTGTCTCGCTAATCTGTACAAGTCCTTCTCACCTTCCCTCATGTCTAACCTGTCATACAACTCATCATATGCTTTCTGTTTTTTCCATTGCCACCTCCCTCTTCACTCTACGCTGCAATTTCTTGTAATCCATCTTTTTAGCTAGCCTCTTCCTCTGAATGCTGTCCTGTACTTCCTCATTCCATCACCATGTTTCTTTATCTTCTTTCCTCCTTCCAGATGACACACCTAGCACCTTCCTACCTGTCTCCCTGATCTGTCCTGTACTTCCTTGTTCCACCACCATGTTTCCTTATCTTCTTTCCTCCTTCCAGATGACACACCTAGCACCTTCCTACCTGTCTCCCTGATCACTTCTGCTGTAGTTTCCCAGTCATCTGGAAGTTCTTCCTGACCACCCAAAGCCTGTCTCAACTTCTGTCTGAATTCCTCACAACATTCTTTCTTTTGCAGCTTCCACCACTTGGTCTTCTTTTTGTTATGGTTTGTCCCCCTCACCAGGAGGGTGAGGGAGAGCTGTGGTAGGACACAAGATTGCAGACCCAGGTGCTAGTAAAACAAGGGGGTTTAATGGAAAAAGACACAAGGTAACAACGTAACAAAGTCCATGTATGTATACAATCCGGGTAGGACAGAGATGGTTGCGGAGACCAGGACGAACAGGTGAGCAGACAGGCTAACGGCAGGAACCAGGAGAGTAGGAGGATCAGGACGGACAGGTGAATAGGCAAGCTAACCAGGAGGACTGGCGAACGAAAAGGAAATCCACAGCACAGGAACTGTCAGCGTGGACGTCTAGAGACGTATAACACAAAACATGTAACCAATGTACAAAATGAGATCCACAGCACAGGACCTGTCAGCGTGGAAATCATAATGACATGCAACACATACCACGAATAAAGATATATACACAAGTACGTCGGTATAAGTTCTGTTAATGCTCCAGCGACGATGGAGCGTCTGCCAGAGATTAAAATAAGGTAGGGAAGTTATTACAGTAACGCACCTCAGTTGTACGCGACAACCCACAAGTCACTAATTACAGCAAGCGACACAGCTCAGGTGCTGATCTCACAAAAAAGAAAGAGCAGGAGAGAGAAAGGCAAAAGAGAGGCAGGTTGCGCAGAGCGGACCTGACACTTTTCTGTCTTTCCTCTCCTCTTCTTCCTGACCACCAGAGTCATCCTACACACCACCATCCGATGCTGTCTGGCTACACTTTCTCCTACCACCACTTTGCAGTCACTAATCGCTCTCAGATTGCCTCGTCTACATAGAATGTAGTCTACCTGCGTACTCCTACCTCCACTCTTATATGTAACTCTATGTTCCTCCCTCTTCTGGAAATAGGTGTTAACTGCAGCCATTTCCATGCTCTTAGCAAAGTCCACCACCATCTGTCCTTCTAGGCTCCTTCCCTTAACACCAAACCTGCCCATCACCTCCTCATCACCTTTGTTCCCCTCACCAACGTGCCTGTTGAAGTCTGCCCCAATCACCCCTCTCTCCCTCACACCCTACTTGTGGAGCATAACCACTGACTACATTCAACATCCCCAACTTCAAACTGATCACCCTGTCTGACACTCTTTTCACCTCTAAAATATTCCTCACAAGCTCCTCCTTCAGGATCACTCCTACCCCATTTCTCTTCCTGTCCACACCATAATAAAACAGTTTGTATCCCCCTCCAATGCTACGCGCTTTGCTATCCTTTCACCTGGTCTCCTGCACACACAGTATATCTACCTTCCTTCTCTCCATCATGTCCACCAGCTCTCTACCTTTCCCTGTCATTGTGCCAACGTTGAGTCCCTATTCTCAGACCTATACTCCTGCCTTTTCTCTTCTCTCTCTGTCTACAAATCCTTCTACCTCCTCTCCTTTTTTGACCAACAGTAGTCCAATTTCTGCCAGCACCCTGTAGGTCAACAGCACTGGTGGCGGTCGTTGTTAACCTGGGCCTCGACCGATCCGGTATGGAATTCGCACTGATGATTCGCATGTTTAAATTTGGCATGTTTTTATGCCGGATGCCCTTCCTGATGCAACCCTCTCTATTGATCCAGGCTTGGGACCGGCACAGAAGTCACTGGCTTGCAACCCCTGTGGCTAGATTAGATTAGATTAGCCCAGGTTCTGTTAGCAAAGTTATTAATGTCTCCTGACATTAATAACGTTTTACAGGGTGGTCATTCAGTGGCCTACTATAAAGAAACTGAACTTTTTATTTGTGTTAATGTGTATTTTAAAATTTTATACTGGTGGAAATGTTCACATTTTGAGTTTCTTGAAAATTCTCAGACTCAACAGTTCATATAAAATGATTTCTTTCACCCTGATCAAGATTATATTGGCTGCTTTAATGCATTTTTGTGCTTACTTTTGCTCAAAAAATAATCGCGGTTAGCTAAATGAATATTTTATTTTACATTATGGGGGGGATCACTGCACAATATTCCACAGATTTCCATCCTGAAAACTGTTTGGGCCTGCAGAGCTGTTACCAGACTTTTATCCCTGATCAAATGAAACAGTATTTTCTTCTTCGTGTTCTATAGACATTTAAAAATGTAAAGAAGTCATTATTAAAAAATGTATAGTCTTTTTAGTTCCTCGTCAAAACTATGTGGGGCCGGGGTTGCACTTATCTCTGTAGTGATATGCAGCAAACACCAGTAAAGTCTTAAGGCACTAGGGTATAGATGTCACAAAACAAAAAGAATCTTGACAGCAGCTAAAACTCTCTGAAATGTAAAAAAGTAATGAAAATAAAAATAACTTGCAGGACAATAGGTGTCACACAGACATAAACAAATCCATGCCTCTTAAACAGGTTCACTGTTCGTCTGTGTAAACCCAGTGTTATAAACTATTGGGCTGCAACAAATATTTTTTATTAGTGGTTAATCTGTAAATCTCTTTATTCATCGAAGAATCGTTGTGCCTGTAAACTGCCTTGTTTTGTGTGACCAGTGTTCAAATCCAAAGAGATTCAGTTTACTGTCAGATATGACAAAGAAAAGCATCATATGTTTGTTTGTTGAACACCGGACAAAGCAAAATCCATTTACTTTGCTTCAAAAAAGTGATTTATGAAATCCTGGCAATAAAATCCATGGACTAATTAATTCATCAACAGTTATAGCATGTTCGAGTTTGAAAGGCAAATATGTTTTTATCAACGGACAGAAACAGACAAATAACGTTAGACAAACCGAACAGTAAACACCAAGCCGAGCCGTTAGCTGACATTATCGTTAGCTTAGCTTAGCTAGCTCCCTCACGCTGACTCAATGTGTTGATTTCTGTTGGTTTGTCAAAGGGAGAACACGGCAATAAACTCTAACGGTTCCATGCGTGTTTTAAAAAAATAACGCTGCACAGTAAAGTTCCGGTTAGAACCGACCTTTCATGTAAAAGATGTATAAAACCTTGCCTGTTGTTTCAGCGTACTCCCGTTGCTAGGGAGCGTCACTGTTTCTTAGCAACGCCGCGGAGCGTAGGTGCGACGTTTGTGTTGTAAAATAAAACCTAACAGGAAGCAGAAACACCTGCTCTTGTTGCTTATTGTAGAGATAAACAGGTAAATCATAATTAGTTATATAGCTATAAACTGTATTAAAAAAACTGTAAAACACTGAAAATACCGCAAAGTTGTAGGCTATTTAAGTACAGTACTTTCCAATACTTGAAAATGAGCTCTGGTATAATAAAAGATCATTTATGAAGTGGACTGCTAGCTAGCAGTAAATGTTAGTTAGCATTAGCTACTGATACCTCTGACTATACAAAGCGGATAATGCAGGACCTTTACTTGTATTGGAGTATTATTGGTACTTTTACTTTTAGTTCCTGACAGTTATTGCTGTAAAGACACATTTCAGTCAAAAAAACAAAAATGTTGAGGCTTGGCTAATATATACACAACATTACAGAGATTTTACAAGTCTTTATTTGTAGTGTTCACAGCTTCAACATTCGTCTACAGGCTGGTCAAACACAGGACAACACAACTGCTGTAAACAGGTTTTGAGGTTTTGTGACAGCAACATTTCCTGAGGTGAATACAGCAACACCACTGAGGAAAAGTGTTGGTGTTGAGTTGCTGTCCAACAGTGAGAACAAAAGAAAATCACACAGATGAATCACTGACTGATTCATTGAGGCATAAGATGAAGTCTGCAATTATGCCTTGGATGTTGTTGTGAATTATATTTAAGTATGAAAATTTAATGATTTAATGACATTAACTGTGTTATGATGTGAATAAGCACATATCTGGAGTTGTTAGCCTAGCTTAGCATAAATAGTGGAAGCTCCCAAACTGCTAAAATATTCTGCTAAACTAGGCTAAAACCATCCTGGAACTATGATTGAACACAAAGAAATGAAAGTGGTAACTATTTTCTACCCAACTGAGTTACTGAGCTCTGAACCCAAGGAGATTATTTTTCCCCAAAATCAAGAAAAATGTAGTCATTTCACATACACACTAATCATTTAATCAGAACAGTGTTATGGCTTCTTACTGCAGCTGATGTCACATAGACTGATTCTAATTTACTATCAGTAAATCTGAGTTTAGCTTTCAGATTGTTTAAACTCCATGTCAGAGGTTTAAAGGAGAAAGCATGCTTTAGTGGCTTATTTTCCTTGTATTAATGCTTTATATGGTCACAGTGAAGCTGGTGTCTGGACCAGTCTTATAAATTTTACATACGGTAGGAGATTATGATTGGCTGTGTGTGGAGTCTATGAAAAGGGAGGTTTGAGGTTTATGGATAAATAAAGTGGCATGTTAGTATGTAAAAAGAAATGACAAAAGACCAAGAACAGGACCCTGAGGAACTCTGCAATCAATTATATGCTCGGTGCTGTGATCATGTTGCTTTGCGTCAGCTAGATGTGGAGGTGGGCAAATGATTAATCAGGTTGATAATAGGTCAGATGTTGTATCTACAATTTGTTTAAAACACGGACAAAAAAAAAAATCATTTAAAGTAGCTTTAAGGGCATCACTGCCCTGATCAGTACTGTTTCTCATCAACTGTTTAAATTCCTGAAGCAGCAGTCTTGCCAACATCTGACTTCACTTAGTGTATCGACGCTGCTGTAGCACAATGTGTGTTTCAATAACACTATTGTAGCCGCAGAGAAGAAGAAACTAATTTTTGGAGCTAACGCTGCATGATCCACAAAGTAGCTATTAGCATCATTGTCAATTCAATAATGCAAAAAAAGAAATTCTCTCCATTTTTCCTCTGAGATGTTTGGCTTTAACAAGTAATTTCCTGATGGCAGGGGCCCCTCCATACACAACCCCAACCATCAAACTAGCTGTGCAAACTCAGGACCTCCAGTCCTAATTAATAACTTTGAGTTGTGCAAAGTGGAGTAGAGGCTGAGTCGAGTTAATCTGTTCCGTTGCGTCTCTGATTGGATTATTTTCTCTTGCTCTGTGACACATTCTATTCACTGTGTTTTAGAAAAGTCCAATAGTTATATATTTGTAACTATGCTGACCTGGACTCTCAGTGGCCAGGTTTCCCTCCACATGCAGCTCAAATCGGAACTGAATTTTAGGAAAATATGCTCTGACTGAAGTGCTGTCTCCACCCCCCACCCCCACCCTGAGCGGGCCGGGTGATGGAGCAGGATCTGCAGTTGGTGCTGTTCTGCCACTGCAGAAGATGATGAGGTGATTCAAAGCTCAAAAGGTGGAAAACATGACAAGAATCTGACATTTCTTTTGGTTTCACGTGTTCATGTGAGGAAGGTTGCAGCCTCCTCACTGCTCCACACACATGGGAGGTTTTCGTCTCTTCTTTACTGGAAGCGACGTTCACTTTGGTTTTTAGCCACACAACAACTTTGAAGCACATTAAACACTTTTTGCAATATTTCACAATTTCTTTGACTTTTTTGGCATCTTTGCTTAGGTGATAATGTGCATACAAGCAGAAGGATGGGAACAAATTGGTTATTGATCTCTCCCCTCCTCCCTCCCCCCACCACTCCACCTGTCTCTCTGGTCTTCTGTCAGTATTCGGGCAGAGTCTCATTGTAGTCCATGATGCCCAGTTCCTGTCTCCTCTGTCGGACAGCGAGGGTCAGGTCTGCACAGGGGGCTGCAGGTTCAGAGGCAGGAACGCTGGGAGCTGCAGCCCTGCTTGGAGGCTCTGATTCAGGGCTCCCTGTGAGGAGCAGGGCCTCCTCCACCTCATGACCTAGAGAAAGGCTCTCTGGCTGCACCTCCTTCTCCTCCTCCTCCTCCTCTTCCTGTTTCTCCTCCTCCTCCTCCTGGGTGTGATTGGTCAGTCTGAACAGCTGCTGCGCTCGCTGCTGGAGCCAATGGCCAGTGGGGAGTCGATCGGGGAGTGGGAGTGGGGGGGGGAAGAGCAGGAGGGGAAGTGCAGCGGGGAGGTGGAGAAGGCCCTCACACCTCCATTGATTATACTAACAGAAGAAGAGGAGGGGTGGGGCTTGTAGCTTCCCTCAGCGACAGGTAAGACGATACTGCCACTGTTTGGCCTGAGGGAGAAAAGGATGACATCACATTATATCACATGACTGCTCATCAGCTGAATCTTTTGTTTGCTTGTTTACAGTATCACCATGCAAGAGGAAACAACATAAATAAGTATTATTCCTACAAAATAAACAGACCTTCATTCAGTTTGCTACAGGTGTAAATGACATGCTTGTACAGCGCTTTACTATGCATTGCAGCGCACTCAAAGCATTGACACACACACACACACACACACACACACACACACACACACCAGTGTGACCAGTAGCTCATGGTGGCTAATGCTAGCTCCTACTGTGTCTGAGATAGTGGCAGAGTGAGATAGTGTTTGATCCGCAAACATTAGCACGGTGAGTGTTGTTGATATGAATAATTCCTGAGGTCTGAGACTCATTTGTACTGTAAGCAAGCACAGATACTGTATTTGAAATAATGTTACAGCTTCCTATCTAAGAAAACTGGTTTCATTTATTTACAAATAATCAAATGGAGGTGAAAATGTTACCTTCAGTACTAATTCAGTGCACGCCCACTGAAAATAACTCACTTTTTAAGCAGCAAAGATTCAAACTATCTGTAAAAAAAAAAAAAAAAAACCTTCAGAGATTCAGTAAAATCACTTTAGTCCTCCATGTTCTTTTATTTCTACTGAACGTGAAGAGTGTTCTTCCATCTAAAGTTAATTATGATATACGTATGAAGGCGCCCGGCGTTATGTTTCTGCTTTACACATGTGTATGTGTTTCTGTATTTTGAGTTTGTGACTGCTGACCTGCTGCAGACGTCCACGGGCCGGCTGTGTGCGTCCGGGGGCATCTGACTGTACAGGTGAAGCATCTCAGTCTGCAGCATCTGGGCAACTCTCCTCAGAGCCACAGAGCGATTCTCACAGGCCAACAGCTCTGCCCTGACGCACAAACATGTCTCAGTACAGCTAAAACTGGGCAGACCCCGTCTCCCTGAAGCCAAACTGATAAACCACTATTATCGTAATGTTACAGGCGAGGTGGTTCCTGCCATTGCTGCTGTCAAGGTGTCAAGGCACTCACGTCACAGAGGAAAAAAACTCAGACGCTCAACTTCAACAACAGATCTCGATACATGAGAGCTACTGTATTTCCTGTGCCTACACATTCATACAATCCTAACAAACTTCTGGCTTTCAGTTCATTAACAGTCTAATAAAATGTTCATGCATGTATGCTTAAAATACTAACACCATTTAAACTTTGCTGCATTCTATATTTGCTTCAGTCCTTTCCTGCTTCACCTGTCACTCGCATTCAATCCCAGCTTTAGGTGAAAACTGACTATATACGCCATGGGTGGGGACATTTACAAATTTTCATAAACAAGTACTCACAGATTTTCGACAGTGTGCACAAGTGCATACTTTTTCCCATATGGTAGCCCACTACCCAGAATACAGCGTGCCCTGAGGGGTGCGGGGGCGACGACAGCAGATGCTGCTGAGATTTATTTAAAGTTCCCGGACCAGTAATTCATAAGGCAAATGATGTTAAAACACGTGGGACACCTTTTACTACCGCAGCGAGGTGACAACGAGCTACAGCCAAAGTTTCATCAGAACAAGCTGGAGGTGGTTCCTGTGCGCTCGTCTCACGGCAGCTGCATAGAGACTAGTCTGTGCAGTACGGAGGAGGCTCGGTTTAATGAAGCCCAAGTTGTAGCTTGTTGTCTGCCTCACTACGGTTGGAGGGAAGCGTCATCTGTGTTTGAACATTTTTCTAACTTTGCTGCAGAGCGGAGGTGTGCAGTTGTCGAGAATCACTGAAATAAAACAACAAGAAAAATGACGCTTTAACATGAACGTATGCCATAAAAAAGAGAAAAGTATCTTGTTATAACGAGACACTAAGCGAGCATTTAGGCGAGTTGAACTCTGCCTAAATGATTATGGCAGGGCCAGCGTGTACGCGTGTATTCATGTACATGATCCCACCCCTAATATACAGCATAATTGTAATTATACAATAATAATAATAATACATATGCATGAAATTCATTTTTAAACAGGAAAATGTGCAGACAACTTAGATATTTTTACAGCCCTGAGTAGTGTCTGCAGGTCCAGCCCCCACCAATCAGTATTTATCCTGAGAGGGCAAAGCCAGGGGGACTGGGTTTTGGACTGCTGACTGAACCAGAGACACCCGAAGACGTTACCTTTGACTCTGACACACTTAACAAAATAACTGATCCACTAGCTGAAAGAATAACCAGTAGATTCACTGATAATGAAAAGGATTGTTGAGTGGCAAAGGAACAAGCTTTTCCTGTGCATGTTTTATTCACAGCTTGTGAAGAAGCAGAGTGGAGCTGCTGCTTTGTTCTTTTATTCAGCAGGTATTACATTTGCTGAAACTAAATAAGCTAATACTTAACAGTGGAGCTGGACTCTGACCTGCTCTGGGCCTTGGTGTCCTCCAGGAGCTTCTTCTGATCCAGGATCAGATGGTCTTTCTTGGCCAGCTGGTTCTCCAGCTCTGTGATCCTGTGATTGGCTGCCTCTAGCTTCTGTCTCTGCAGGACCTCGCTGTCCTTCAAACGCTGGTACTCCTTACCCACAATGCACTGCAGCATGGACGCCTCCTGGCACACAAACACAGACGCTACTGAGATCTGGAACTAACTCTGCATCGCAGTCTGTTCTGTTAAATATGGAATAAAAACATCAGATGCTAAGTTTCAGCTTATTTTAGAAAAAACAGTGGGTTTTCTTTGTAAAAGATGCAGCCGATGATTCTGTCTGTGTGATTCCCCACCAACCCCGTCCAGAGACCAGCAGCAAACGTGGTGTCTTTACTGTAATGTGTACGAGTCCAGACCCTGGTCCAACTTATCGCTCTGTGCCGTGGACCTCCACTGTTGTCCACCAGCTATTAACCCCCCCCCCCAAGTGAGACACACCGCTGCACTGGATGGCAGGTTTCCTCCTCAGGAAACATGGGAGGCTGTCTGTTTCCACCATGCAGGTCCACAGGCTGGGAACAGCACCACTGTGCACAGAGCCACCGGTCTCTGCCCTGGTTGCTCCACCAGCTCCTCGCTGCACAGAACGTGTTGGAGCTGTTTGTTGGAAACAGACAGGCCTCATGTTTCCTGAGGAAAGTAGCAAAAACATACAAAATCACCAGCTGCGTCCTGTCAGTGGAAGACAGCAATACTGTGTATTTGTTCTTACAGCCCAGTGGTGGTGGCCTCCTCCCTCCAGCTGTTCTGCCAGAGCTCTGTTAGCTTCTCTCAGCAGGACGAGCTGCTGGTTCAGCA